ATCGAGAGAGGGAGTAAAAACTGTAGTTATCCTGATGGTAGGAAAAGCGTAAGGCGTTTTCCTTTGCCTTTCTGAGCTGTTGGAAAGTGCAAATGGTGTCACTCATATCTGTAGAAAGGGAGAGAATAAATGGTTAATACAATAAATCAGTGGAGGAACACGACAATTCTTTTATAAGTATTTACTTTATTGCTAATGATGGTAAAGAATATTTTACGCGTTAGCATTTCTTGTAATGATCAGACTAAGTGGATTCCTTATTTTTTATTTTATTTCGAAACCCATGCCTTAATGACTATTATGTTAGTTCTAGCTGTTCTTCAAGAAGTTCCAATAGGATTTGTACGTTCTCCTCATCCAAGTTTCTTTTGGTTGGATGGTGGAGATGGGTTAATCCTTGATCGGACCAGGCCATCTTTTATGTTTTTTTGTCGTTTGTATGCCAGAATGGGTTGGGTCGCAAAGAGTGCAATGAGGAAATCATTATCGCTGATCAGATTCCAGTGTTTCAGAAGGGCCTGCTTAAGAGCTGGGTGTTTAATTTGTGGGTGGTAGGGTAAAACAAAGACCAGCGGGATATTCTTTTCGGGTTTTGCACGCTTTTTAGAGTTCACGCGAGTTTCGCCTTTTTAAAGTTTGACTCAATGTTTGAAAACAGCAATAAATTTGCCCCAAACCATCACGGGTTGTAATTGTGTGCCACCATAAACCAAAGTTTACTTGTAAAGTAGCCGGATTATTGATACCAAGGGTGAGGTTTCATTTCGTATACAGTGGTGCAAATAACAAAAGAGATAAGTATCATGCAATAATTCAGACAAACATGTTTGATAAATTTGATTCAAGTGATTACTGAGGTACACTTAATTTACCTTAGTAAAATCTTAAAGGAAAATATCCTGAGACCCCTGGCAAGCTGACGTTTTGAGGGACAAAACAAATTTGCAAGTAAGTTCTAAAAACGTGTTTTAACGCATGTTACGAAAATAGCGTAAGGGTGACATTTAAAACAATAATTTATTTCTCAACTAAGGGCAAAAATGAAACTTTGTAATCATATAGTTGATTTTGTGATTTTGGCCGGATGATTTTTTAAGAATTATGTTAAAAACAGTTTTTGACGCCCAAAAACAATTGCAACGGGCCATAGAATATATAATAAGTTCTATTTTGGTACTTGCACACCAAGTCCTCTCATATTAAGAAAAATGGCCGAGGACACTAATATGAAGTATCTACCTGGACCGATGGCCCCAATTCGATCAAGCTTGAAAATGAAGGTTTTTAAGCTGGACCCTAGTCAGACCTACATTTCGGAGGTCAGTCCCTTCTCCATCTTAAGGAACTTTAAGTTTGGAATTGTGTTCAATTCTACGCAAATAAGGTGTGATTGCCTTATAACAGATTCATGCAATGAACTTTTTGTCCAATGTCTACTTTAGCTCTCTTGCAGTCCAGAAAAAATATCAGTCTACAGACGAAGTCATGAGCTCCGTGACTACCAAAGTGAAAGGCGTGATCTACACAAACATTACTGACTGGCCAGATCTCCTAATCACGGACACAACGCCATACAACAGGATCTGGGATGTCTCTGACTATGTCATTCCTCCAAAGGTAATTTGGCCAGATTTAAAAAAGAAAGAAATGGTGACAGTTACTTCAATCCAGATTTTTAAACATTCGGTTTGAGTTCCACTATTCCGTTTCAATTTTGAAACCGGATATTCATAATATATACCTTGAAAAAAATTAGCTTAAGCCTTCCTTTTTTGTGCAACACGGGCTTTTAAGAAAACAACTGGAACATTCCTCAATTTGCTCCCTGATCTGAGATTGTAACTGCATTCACTTGCTAGTGGTCGTCTTGGTATATAGACCAAACAAAACAAATGGTGTGTTTACGGTAACCCGACCGACCTGGAATTTTTCCGGCAAAATTGCCGACCTCAAACATTTTATTGCCATTTTGAAGGTTGATATTGACAAATTTCAAACTTTTCAAATACTTTTAATTATTTGCCAAATCTGTCCCCACAGGTTTGAAAAAAATCCTGGGGAGCTGGAGAACCCTGGGACGATACGAATTAATTTGAAATGAAATATATCGATTGAATATCTTGAATGCTTGAATAATGCTTCTATACAAATTCTTTGCGAAAGAATGAAATGAAAAATACAAAATAAAATTATTTTCCTACCTACCTACCTGGATTTTGTTTCAGGCCGTTACCGTAAACACACCATTTTTTGTATGGCCTGAGTAGCCTGCCCTTTCGACAGAGAGTTCCCATCCATTTGTTTCAACATTAGGTGAAGTAAAAAAAAAAACATGTTTAGCGTCCCCGCCCGCTTCCTTTTTAGAGGCCGCCGCCTCCTTTTTTTTTTTTTTTTTTTTTTAAAAGACAAAAATTGAAAAATTTTAACGATCTCTGACGAAAGAAATCATATTTTTAGACTTTTATACCGTGTATAAAGCTGTGGAAATAGTCAATGAGTCCAAGTGGCGGCCATTTTGAAAAAAGCTGGTAACCATCTTGAAAAATAGCCCGGCCGCGTTGTCTTGAAAAATGTGTCTGGCGGCCATTTTGAAAAGAAAAAAAAAAAGGGCCTCTTCCTTCCTTTTTGTCAAAGAGGCAGGACGCTAAACATGTTTTTTTTTTATTTTGCCTTACAGCTCTGGCGTGTTTTTGTAAAGGCCCAGTGGTCATTGAATCCTGCAAACTATACCCAGTCATTGGGAGGACATTAATTTAAAAGTGGCAACTCACTCGTCAAATGAAATGTTCTCCAGCGAGAATGGATTTGTTGTCAGCAGGGGCGGCGGAACGCTTTTCAAACAGGGGGGGGGGGGGGGGGGGCATCAGCGAAAAGAGCACTTATCCAGAAAAATGGGCACCTTCCATTTTTGTGAAAGTGACAGCCCTTCGGCCTCTGCATTGACGGATCCAGAACACATTTTTGGGGGTTAGGGGGGCCGAGAAAAATTTGGTCCCCAAAAAGGGGGTCCACAAATTCACGGTGTGGGGTTCAGGGCCCGCTTTAGGGCTCCGGAAAAAATTATTCTCGATGCTCTGTGGTGCGATCTGAGGCAACTTCCGACCACTTTAACCAAATTGGTGGTGTACTTAGTGGATGCCTGTTTTGTGACGTCACTAGAAAATAAAAAAAATTAAAAAATCTTTTCAAAGGAAGTAAAGTTCGAATAAGGCTTGGTTGGCAACTGAATTCTTGAAATATTTTTAGCACTGTTTGTGTTCACTTAGTAGTTACACAAAATTAAACAAAAGATGGCATTAAGAACACCGCGGTCCAATTTTTATGGTGTCTGCCTCATTTCGATACAAGAAAACGAATGGGTAGGCCCGTGAGAGTACATCATCTAAAAAAAAACCCACTGCAAATCAACAAATAGATTTGGCGAGTGCACTAGATCTAGAATCATATCAGTTTGTCCATTCAAGTACCGTATCATTATTAACACTAGCATCAATGTCATGACCGTACAGGGTTTTGCCTTTTTTCAACGTATTTTACGAAGACTGTTTACCCGATGTTGTCCCCAGTAATTGTGAGGGAAAACAAATCAAACTTCTCGGTTAGAATTGAGCCTAAGACCTCCTGCTTACTAGTGCAGACATCTTAGTACTTGACTATCTAGCTTGCCGTTGTCGGTTTGCTGGTTCGAATTTGATATACACTAGCAGCGGTTACTGCAACCGAACTTCATAAATGCATTAATGGACTTTTGCCCTTCACTTGCCTTGGTCAAGGCGTTGGTTATTATTCGTCCGTACGCAGCAAACGATCGGCGGCATATCCTCGCTATCATACCTCGCTATCATCGCTGCATAGTATGCAGTGCATACACAGTACAACGCAAACAGCGACCTCATGCGGCCACTATTTTATGCAAATCATTAGATCCAGATGAACGCCTAGTCTATGTGATATGTGAGCAGATTCGCTGATTGATAAACCCCGCCTCTTGACCTCCTAGATTTTGACCCATCAGCGGGCGCTTTCTATATCGGGTCTTCGGTCATTCACCCGTTGCGCGTCATAGACAATTGATTAAAAAGTCCAGTGCGCGTCACGGGCTCGGTATCGTGTTACGCGCAATAACGCGCCGGACTGTAGTTGCATTACAAAACACTGCATTCGAATTGACCAATCAAACCATTAGTCCTGATTTAGGAATGAAATGACGTCACGATTTAGTAAAATCGATTCCCATTGGCTGGCGCGCAGCTTGCATACGTATATGTCTAGACATATCAGACGTTATACAGGAGTCTTGCTCCGTGGATAACGGGTGATACTCAGACTATCCATTATGGTGTGCAGTAAAACATTTGCATAAAAGCCTCCTTCACAAGTTATTAATTAAAATATATCACTTTTTTTCACTGACATGAAGTTTAGAGTTTCTTCTTCCGTTACATTTTAACATTTCAATCATACTGAGCATATTTTCTGAGAAACACAACATTCTAAAAGCCCGCATGATTTGGGGTTTCACAAATTTCACTGCTCTGTTAAAAGCATCTGAGTTTGTAATTGAATTGGCTTTGCTGAACAACCGACACGCTTTGGCATTCGCAACCACACGGCTGACTGAGCTAACCAGGGTTGGCTGCATGGCTGGTTGGTTCAAGGCTGATATATATTATATACTCTTGGTTTTCCATGCAGGAATCCGACGCCTTTTTTGTCATGACCAACATGATCATTACCCCGGACCAAATGAGAGGGCAGTGTCCTGAGGTAAGAGGAATGCAGTCTGGATATAATTCGACCTTCTGTAGGTTTTTTTTTTGGGGGGGGGGGGGACGGGGTTAAAAAAAACCCATCAAAAAACCGAAAATGCTAAAAAAAAAATGTGGAAACTGCTGCTTTGAAGCATTGTTTTTGAGTGGATTTAACAAACAGCAAATACATGTATTTGGAAGTTGAAGAATATTGCCTTTCATTATTTTTCTCGTTACATATTTAGGATCCAAGAATGCCGGATGTTGCCTGTAATCCCTCCGCGAATGAATGTAAAAAGGGCGACCGAGTCATCAATGGAAACGGTATCGTACATCCTAGCATTTTGGAAGACAGATTTAAGAAAGAAAATTTCTAGTGATAAATCATGCTACTTGTTTTTCCAAAGCCATGACTTTGTTATCAGTGTAGAAATTAAAAGTGTCAAGTATAAAATACAAAAGATGTAAGACAGTGTATCAGCATTCACCAAATTTACTTAAGTATCAAAATTGATTCCTTTGTCTTTGTCATATGCTTGCAGAAATTTAGTTGGACACTGTTTAATTTTCATCTTAATTCTGTAGACAAAGTTGGGATAAACTTGATAATACCTCGAAGGTCCTTTAAAATCCACCAGGAGATTTTGAAGGATTTTGCAGGATTAAGGAAGGTAGATCGAGTCCAGCGTCTATACATTTGCACAGGGCTTGATACCCCTTTGCCTCTAGTCAAGTCCCACGCGCCTATACGTAACGCATACACGTACGCATACACGTAACGCACTCCGGATGCTGGCACGTAAAAAGAGGTATTATACAACACCTGAATAAATCCCCGTCATCTGATTGGTGAATTGTAGATCATCTGACATATTATTATTCGGTATAATGCACGGTGCGACCATGCGTTATACCCATGTGTTATACCGTTTCACTTTGCGCTTGTTCCATGACGCGGTATTTGCGTGCAAAATGCATGCTGGTGTGCGCGTTCAGCGTAGCGCGTATTGTTCCAAAGAGCCAGCCTTACAGCGTTGGGTTCAAACATTTTCGTGAAGGGGTAGTTCAACATCTTTAAAATCAAAGCAAATTGTAGTTTATAATTTACCAATCAAATGACGAGAATTTATTCAGGTGTTGTATAAAAAAAATAACGAATGTTTTACGTTCGTGCGATGGAAAGAATAATTTCATTCGGTGACAGATTGAATGTTCTATTCTTCGCCTCGTGGAATAGAACATTCAATCTGTCACCTCATGAAATTATTCTTACCATCGCACTCACAAACATTCGTTATTTGTATACTAGCACGAGCGGCGGAGCCGCAAGGGCCTTTACTATCTCGTGGAACTAATCCTTTATTCATTTATTCACGTAATATAAATCGAGCAATATAAACCAATCATTTAACGGTGGTTTGCAGTTACCAGCAACAGCACCCGCGCCATGGCGCGGGTGCTGTCTGGCGCCAGACGACGGCTGACATACGTTAGTAATTCTGCATTCTTATTGGTCAATTCACAACGGTAATGCATTATGCATGTTTATACAACACCTGAATAAATCCCCGTCATGTGATTGGTGAATTGTAGATCACGTGACATTTTATTATTTGGTATAATGCACGGTGCGAACATGCGTTATACCCATGCGTTATACCGTTTCACTTTGCGCATGCGCAGTAAGGACGAATGCCTTCGACTGGCGGCGCTATACACATAGCTACTTTGCGTAAACAAACAAAATGGCAGGCGATTGTAGTTAGTTCAACATCTTTAAAATCAAAATAAATTGTAGTTTATAATTTACCAATCAATTATTCAGGTGTTGTATAAAACAAATAACGAATGTTTTACGTTCGTGCGATGGAAAGAATAATTTCATTCGGTGACAGATTGAATGTTCTATTCCACTCGGCTTCGCCTCGTAGAATAGAACATTCAATCTGTCACCTCATGAAATTATTCTTACCATCGCACTCACAAACATTCGTTATTTGTATACTACCAAATTGGTAGACAAATGTAAAGAAAAACATAAGCGTTCTCCGCAAGATGGTAAAGGCCCTCGCGGCTTTGCCGCTCGTGCTAGTCTCTTTACGTGCCAGCATCCGGGGTGCGTCACGTGTGCGGGTAGGCGCGTGGGACTTGACTAAAGGCTAGATACCCCTTGGAGCTTAGAAGGTACTGTGGCGGGACTGTTGCCGAAGCAAGTTATTCCTCGGACCAGGGACTACACAAAGGATGCAGGCTCGTTTTGAGTGGAAATCTACCGCCGCAGGAATTGATTCTTAAACCGTCTGTTAATCAGGCAAATACACAATAACAAGGAACACTGGCAACTGAATGACCGGTAATCTCAGTTAACCACGATAATTTATTGCAGAGACAACAACAATTGAATGATTAAATGATTTGGGAATATTTGTCTTGGGTACCTTTATTTCAACCTGTGGTTTTTGAACGAGCCCTATTTGCAATATGCAGCTAATATCGCACTGCTTACTCCAATAAGCACTGCACAAACTAATAGTGCATTACAGGAACGCTAAAGCAATGCACAAACCAATGCTGCATAACAGAAACGCTATAGTAGGCAGAGTTTAGGAGGAGAGTTTAGGCACTCTCCTGAAGACGGTCAGAGTATACTAACCGGAACGTCGAGTTTATACCTCTGGTGCTTTTCAGAACCATTCTCTTAGTTGAGAAATTATTCGCACATGGTGTTTCCGCAAACCATTAATTATTTAGTATCTCCACCATGCAATGCCTCAAATCTTACTTAGAAACGCTATAGCAATGCACAACCAAGTGCTCCCAAACAGGAACGATATAGCAATGCACAAACCAATGCCTAAACAATATCGCACTGCATAGCTCAATGTCACTGTGGAGATATGGTTCACGCGCACGTAGCACTACGAAACCATGGGCCAGCCCCAATAAGGTTTGAACGTAGCGTTATTTGGCAAAGATTTGTATTAAAAGGTACATACCCCTTTCGTCCCTTTACAACCGGAGATACAGGGTTTTTTAAGCGCAAAACAAGGCTGCCATAATCCATATCGTATAGTTTTGATTATATAACAGACATACAGATCCTTGTCATTTGATTGGTGGAACTCACATCACGTTGCATTCGTTATTGCTCCCATTCATGCCGCGGCTCAAAAAGTACTATCCGCCCATGGGGAATGGGAAATACTATTCAACAGTTAGACTGGAAAGCGGATATGCATACAACATTCACACAGTAGACTTTGCATATTGACCAATTCGCCCCCGGTCTCACGAAGATGGCCGCGTATAATACGAACGTTCTACGCGTAAATACGCGCGTTGTATCAACTGATGTTCTAAAAGGGACACATTTCCGTAGTGATTATTATTTCAAAAACGCCGAAAAAGTCAAGTGAACCGCGACGTTACAAAAGAAATCATGCTGTCTATAAAGACGGCAACTTGTCCTTTATAGATTACCAGCCGGTCTCACCAATATGGCGTCAAATACAACCACAGATACAGGTTTTTTTTAGCGAAAACGCGGCTGACATAATCCATATCGTACAGGCATCGCGACTTTTGAATCATAATTTTTTTTTCGTACGTGACGTTACGTGCAAATCACGCGAGCGCATTTTGGGCGCGCCCAGCGTGCAATCTTCGAAATGCGCACGCAGTACGCTGTGAATAGCCATTTCAGCGTCATTTACGTCATCATCACAGCCAGGGGTTAGTGTAAGGAACGAGCACGCGCCCCTGGAGTCGAGGCTGCATTGCACTGTCACTGCACATGTTGCCGATGGTTGCTCTGTGGTGTTTAAATTGGCAATAAAAGTTCTGAACTTGTTGAACTGTTTGAGTTCTAAACTTATGGACAAGTTGAATTGAATATTATAGTTCTCAACCTGTTGAACAGTTTGCATAATATAATAACTCTGAACTTGTCAAACTTGTAAACAATTTTTAACCTGAATAAATTGGCTATTAAAAGTCAACCTATCAAATGACGAGGATTTATGTTCCAAATGACGAGGATTTATGTTCCATCAAATAACGAGGATTAATGTTCCATTTCACGAGGCTTCGCCTCGTGAAATGGAACATTTCATCTTTCACCTCATGAAATTATTCTTTCCATTGCACTCACAAACATTCATTATTTGTATACTATTCAACTGTTAGGATCATGACGCAGTATTTGTGTGCAAATGCATGCTGGTGTGCGCGTTCAGCGTTGCGCGTAGCGCGTATTGTTCCAAAGAGAAAGCGCTACAGCGTTGGGTTCAAACATTTTCGTGTAAGGGTGGTTTGGAAGAGAGAAATAAATTTTTGTCCAGTTTTGTATTGAAAAAAAGGTCAAATATATCAAATGCCAAGGATCTATATGTCAGTTAAATAAAACAAATATTGAGTGGCTTTAAGTTGTGAAATGGGAGGAATATTAACGCTCGGTAAAATCGGGACTTTTCCCGTTCACTCGGCTTCGCCACTCAATATTTGAATAATATTCGTACGTGACGTGACGTGCAAAGCACGCGAGCGCATTATGGGCGCGCCCGGCGTGCAATCTTCGAAATGCCCGCGCAGTACGCTCTAAATAGCCAGTCAGCATCGTTTACGTGTACATCACGGCCAGAGGTTAGTAGACTTGAAATCAAGTCTGTAATGAGTGGTTTTAATCGCGTCCGCCGCGCGCGACTGCCAAGCTCTGTGCCGGGGGTACGACATACCGCATGCTGTCCTAGTAGCGGGGACGCTACGTACATTTTCGACCCCACGCGTGTGCGATCCCATGCGTGTACTGCATTACAGACTTGAATAACTCGTTGTCAGTTTGTGCACAGGCAATGAGACTTGCTACCAAAATTGGACGGAGCAGTCTGATTGGTTAAGAATCAAGAAAATATGAATGTTCAACAGGCATCTCTTAGCCGATGCGTTTTGGCTTGCACGACGCGACGACACACACACGAGTACACTGTACATGTACACACAACGCCTGATTATCGCGGCGTCTTCACAAAATATTCTCAATCGCTTCGGATTTCCTATCACCCAACGTTAAAATGGAGGAGTTGGAAGCTGGCACCGAAAAGTATAGAGGTTCCATTGACCATGGGTTGCGAAAACTGGGGATTACCAGTGCTCTGAAACCCCAACAAACTGAGGCAATCACAAGTTTTCTTGACGGCAACGACACCTTCGTGAATCTACCCACCGGGTACGGGAAATCCCTGATATACCACATGGGCCAAAAGGAGCTTACGTTTACAGTCGGTGCGCACTTCATTTTTTGAAGGGGATTTACAATTATTCGTAAC